CCACAGCCATACAGTGGACGGATCATACACACCACAGCCATACAGTGGACGGATCATACACACCACAGCCATACAGTGGACGGATCATACACACCACAGCCATACAGTGGGTGGATCATACACACCACAGCCATACAGTGGACGGATCATACACACCACAGCCATACAGTGGACGGATCATACACACCACAGCCATACAGTGGACGGATCATACACACCACAGCCATACAGTGGTGGATCATACACACCACAGCCATACAGTGGACGGATCATACACACCACAGCCATACAGTGGGTGGATCATACACACCACAGCCATACAGTGGACGGATCATACACACCACAGCCATACAGTGGGTGGATCATACACACCACAGCCATACAGTGGACGGAACATACACACCACAGCCATACAGTGGGTGGATCATACACACCACACACAGTGGACGGATCATACACACAACAGCCATACAGTGGGTGGATCATACACACCACAGCCATACAGTGGGTGGATCATACACACCACAGCCATACAGTGGGTGGATCATATACACCACAGCCATACAGTGGGTGGATCATATACACCACAGCCATACAGTGGGTGGATCATACACACCACAGCCATACAGTGGGTGGATCATACACACCACGGCCATACAGTGGGTGGATCATACACACCACAGCCATACAGTGGGTGGATCATACACACCACAGCCATACAGTGGGTAGATCATACACACCACAGCCATTCAGTGGGTAGATCATACACACCACAGCCATACAGTGGGTGGATCATACACACCACAGCCATACAGTGGGTGGATCATACACACCACAGCCATAATATGGGGAACCAATCACAGCCCAGGAAGTAAGGAGCGCTATGAAAAGGGGTAAAAGTACAGCACCTGGTGAAGATGGCGTCACCTACGACATACTCAATGCACTGTGTGAAGTGTCTGGGAATCCACTACTCCGCCTGTTTAACAAGTCATTCCTAAGTGGAGTGCTGCCCACACAATGGAAACACGCAATAATTGTTCCCATACCGAAGCCTAATGACCCTGGTAATTACAGACCTATCAGTCTCGTGTCATACACTTGCAAGATGCTTGAAAGAATAATAAAAAGGTGAAACGCCATTCTAACTAGCTTACACATATACACATACATATATGCGCATGTACACATGTATTTACGTCGCTTTTACTTTACAGAGGGCGGTGGTGGAAAGGTTAGTCACGTGTGTGGTTCGGGTGGGGGGGAGGACTCGAAGGTCTGGGCAAGGGGAGAGAGTTGGGGCAAGGGGACGGTGTTGGGGTAAGGGACGAGACAAGGAGAGGCACCAGGGGTGGGAGTCGGACCCAGCGACCCCATGATGCGTGCCTGTCCACCAGCTGCTGGGCTCGTGACCTGCCCAAGGTTGTGTGTCCACCAGTTGGTACAGCTTCACCCACCGCCCTCCTCCACCAGTGGTACAGCTCCACACACTACCCACCGCCCTCCTCCACCAGTGGTACAGCTTCACACACCACCCACCGCCCTCCTCCACCAGTGGTACAGCTTCACACACCACCCACCGCCCTCCTCCACCAGTGGTACAGCTCCACACACCACCCACCGCCCTCCTCCACCAGTGGTACAGCTTCACACACCACCCCCACCCTCCTCCACCAGTGGTACAGCTCCACACACCACCCACCGCCCTCCTCCACCAGTGGTACAGCTTCACACACCACCCCCACCCTCCTCCACCAGTGGTACAGCTTCACACGCCACCCACCGCCCTCCTCCACCAGTGGTACAGCTCCACACACCACCCACCGCCCTCCTCCACCAGTGGTACAGCTCCACACACCACCCACCGCCCTCCTCCACCAATGGTACAGCTTCACACACCACCCACCGCCCTCCACGGCTCCCACTGTCCTCTCTTCTTCCGCTAGTCCCGTTTCGATCACTTGCATGATCAATCACTATGTCAACCCGTGAATGACATGTCACTGTCACCCGATGCATGGGCTCATTGACAGTCAAATCAGATATGACCTCAGTGAATGTCACATCATTCATAACCACAGTAAATGTCACGTCATTCATGACCACAGTGACTCACGTCATTCATGACCAGTGACACGGCTTGTGTCACTGTACACATGCACCAGTCACTGCTGTGTACACAGTTCCACTCACCAGAAATTCAACTAGTTTCCTCATATTAAAACAACCTGTCCTCAGGGGGGTATGTACCCTCGTCGTAATCACTACAAAACCAATATTAAAACTGTTATTATATACTGTTATTATATGTTAATAATAACAAAACCTGTTTTTATATATTCCCTATCCATGGCTACGCTAGGCTAGGCCAGGTTTAGTTAGGTTAAAACAGTGTATGATTCTCAAACATGTATAATTTAAAATTCAAAAAAATATTTCAGTTTTCCTTAGAATATGACATTAAAGAAAACCTATGCCTTAGGGCATATCAAAGAAAACGAGTTTACCATAGACACTTTATAATTTTAACCCTCGATTTATGATACACTGCAGTTATTACTTGAGAATATTCTCTGTTTAGGATAATGGCTCATTTGCCTGTTTACCAGCAGACTTGTATTGGAACAGCAATATGTTATCAGACCATCACAAATATCTAGTTAACTGTCCAGGTGGTCTGAGAGGGCGGTTGATGTCATGATCTAATTACTGAATCCTGAGAATGGGCTGCTAAACGCTACTGACTTTGCCCTAGTTTTTATATTGTGTTAATTTATTCTGTACCTCATACCCATCCTGTGGGCGATAGTTGACCTCATACCCATCCTGTGGGCGATAGTTGACCTCATACCCATCCTGTGGGCGATAGTTGACCTCATACCCATCCTGTGGGCGATAGTTGACCTCATACCCATCCTGTGGGCGATAGTTGACCTCATACCCATCCTGTGGGCGATAGTTGACCTCATACCCATCCTGTGGGCGATAGTTGACCTCATACCCATCCTGTGGGCGATAGTTGACCTCATACCCATCCTGTGGGCGATAGTTGACCTCATACCCATCCTGTGGGCGATAGTTGACCTCATACCCATCCTGTGGGCGATAGTTGACCTCATACCCATCCTGTGGGCGATAGTGGACCTCATACCCATCCTGTGGGCGATAGTTGACCTCATACCCATCCTGTGGGCGATAGTGGACCTCATACCCATCCTGTGGGCGATAGTGGACCTCATACCCATCCTGTGGGCGATAGTTGACCTCATACCCATCCTGTGGGCGATAGTGGACCCCATACCCATCCTGTGGGCGATAGTGGACCCCATACCCATCCTACGGGCGGTAGTACTGATGGTACGTGGACCCATACCCATCCTGTGGGCGATAGTGGACCTCATACCCTTCCTGTGGGCGACAGTGGACCCCCATAATTATCCTGTGGGCGATAGTGGACCTCATACCCATCCTCTGGGCGATAGTGGACCCCATACCCATCCTGTGGGTGATAGTGGACCTCATACCCATCCTCTGGGCGATAGTGGACCCCATACCCATCCTGTGGGCAATAATGGACCCCATACCCATCCTGTGGGCGATAGTGGACCCCATACCCATCCTACGGGCGGTAGTACTGATGGTACGTGGACCCATACCCATCCTGTGGGCAGTAGTGGAAAAAGTTAGAGGCACATAATGGAACTGAACCACAAAATTAATTTGGCTCAGCAAGTTACAGTTTTGATAAGATATATACTTGCATGATTTAATGCTTATATTAATTTAACAATACAGATATATATATATATATATATATATATATATATATATATATATATATATATATATATATATATATATATATATATATATACTCTGGTTATCTTGAGATGATTTAATTCGGGGCTTCGCGTCCCCGCGGCTCGGTCCTCGACCAGGCCTCCTTTTTTGTTACACATTCCCAGGAAGCCGCCCGTAGCAGCTGTCGAACTCCTAGGTACCTATTTACGGCTAGGTGAACAGGTACATCAGGGTAAAAGAAACCCTGCCAATTTATTTCCGCCTCCGCCGGGTATCGAACCCGGAACCTTAAGACTACAAATCCCGAGCGCTGTCCACTCAGCCTCCAGGCCCCGTAGTTGAATTACCTGACGATGTAGGAGCCGGTCGGCCGAGCGGACAGCACACTGGGCTTATGATCCTGTGGTCCCGGGTTTAATCCCGGGCGCCGGCGAGAAACAATGGGCAGAGTTTCTTTCACCCTATGTCCCTGTTACCTAGCAGTTAAATAGGTACCTGGGTGCTAGTCAGCTGTCACGGGCTGCTTCCTGTGGGTGGAGGCCTGGTCGAGGACCGGGCAGCGGGGACACTAAAAAGCCCCGAAATCATCTCAAGATAACCAAGATAACCTCCCAAGAACTTGAATATAGTCCATGCCCGGTGGGTTTAACACTCCCACCATCGCCCAGTGAATGGAGATGCGTTACATGATAAACTAATTACGCCCACTCATTGTATTACAGCCATTTAGAGTCATGATATTGGGTTGACAGACTATTGATGTACATGTTAAAACCCTGTACTAGATCATCAAAGTTGTAAATTTCTTAGCTAAACTAACATTGGGGTTCATATCCTAAACCCATTGTGCACCTCTAATCCTTTTCCCTAACACTCCTAGGATGGGTATTGGGTGGAAAATAATTGAACTAACCTAACGTGACTCCGAAGGAATTCTATTTGTAGTATAGGAGTGGTGTGGCATTGACACGCGAGGCCCTCCTGGTTGATCAGTCCAGCAACCAGGAGGCCTGGTCGACGACCGGGCCGCGGGGACGCTAAGCCCCGGACGCACCTCAAGGTAACCTCAAGGAGGTAGAGAGGACACCACAGGTAAAGTATATGGTTGACTGTGACCTTGATAGACGAAGGAGGCCTGGATTAGTGAGTGACGCGGCCTTGACACACGAGGAAGAGACGCGCCACCCCGTCATACTTACGTTGGCTGGAGGCTTGTTGGGTGAAGGATGTCTCTTCGATGCCTCGGTGGGGATAAGGTTGGAGGGCGAGTGAGGGGGAACTCTCTCAAAATGTCCTCCTCCTCTTCCGTTCATCAGTGGCTGATGTGTCTGTGCAGAGTGCTGAGTATTGTGCTGGACATTGCAGTCTTGCTGCTGCAGGGCGGCGTGTGTCTGTGGGAGCAGGTTGTGGTGGTGATGTGCGGGAGGAGGGGCGCCTCCCACTAGTGCCGAAGCGGTCATAATTTTACACCGGGGATTTCGCTCACCCAATAAGAGAGAAAGGCTAAAAGGGGCCTCAGGTTCCTCCTTCACCACCGCTGCCATCACCAGTCACGCCCTCTTGCCCCTGATGGCCGGGGTGTGTGTCGAGGAGTCGTAACTCACTTCCCACACTTGTCGACGCCTAGGCTAGAACACTTGACACACAATGTCCTACAAGCAGTCACACGCTCGTGAAGCTCTTCACGGCTTTGCAACTCACCACCTCACAGAGGAAAAAATTAACTTCGAATTTTATTTAGAGTTCACGGTGATTGTTGTTGAAGGCGAGGGCCAGCGTCCACGCGGCACTTTGGCCACTGGTACTCCTCACCTGGCGTGAGCACACCTCACAACTTCCATGGTGAGAAGTGCATTATCCGGTCTTGGTGTGAGTAGTGCCAAGTGAGGCAGTGAGGGGTATGAGGCAAGTGTAGCACTTGTCGCTACACCTCACGCAGCCTTTAACACTACCATTATCTTGCTACTCCCGTCTGGTCGCTTCTCATAACAAACACTCCTTAGTTTATCCCGTTCTCCTCGACCAATTTAATAACTCGGATAATAGAATATAACTCCGCTCTCTCATGTCTTAGGAACACTTGCAGACAGTACTAAGGAACCTGTCTCCTGTCACTCAGGTTTTGATCATTTCTGTCAGTTTTATTACACTTTTCCAATAAGGAACAGGACGCTCACTTGAGCCTGTGGGCTCTACCACCGCATAACCTGTACATACCACACCCGTTCCATTGGCCAAAAATACATTAAACTATAAACTTAAAATATTTGGCCTTGGCCACTTAGGCTTATATATACAACTTCACGGAACACTGTACGGCGTATGAGAGGTGGGAGCTTCGAGTGCGTACACTGTCAGGTGGTGGGGCAGTGTAGCACAGGTGGACCACAGGTGGTGGAGCAGTGTAGCACAGGTGGACACCTTAGGTAGTGGGGCAGCGTAGCACAGGTGGACCACAGGTGGACACCTTAGGTAGTGGGGCAGCGTAGCACAGGTGGACCTCAGGTGGACACCTTAGGTAGTGGGGCAGCGTAGCACAGGTGGACCACAGATGGTGGAGCAGCGTAGCACAGGTAGACACCTTAGGTGGTGGTGCAGTGTAGCACAGGCGGCCCACAGGTGGACACCTTAGGGGGTGGTGCAGCGTAGCACAGGTGGTGGAGCAGCGTAGCACAGGTGGACCACAGGTGGGCACCTCAGGTGGTGTAGCACAGGTGGACACCTTAAGAGTAACCACACTCCACACTGGCAAGAGTTGTATGCGACTGAGGTGGGTTCAGCCGTGTCTGTGTGCGCCGTCTGTGTACGTATCTTGTGTACGTGTTTGTGTGTGTATAGTGGTCACGTGCAGCTCCACACTTTCAGAACACCACTCAAATACTTAATACAATTTCTCGCCTCGACCAATCCCGTGTTTCTGGTCAACACGGTGAAAGATGATCAAATAAATATCATTTTCCCCCTATTTCTTTATTTATACGTGTTGATGCTGACATAATAAAAGAGGAAAATAATAATGCAGAATAAAGCGCCTGGCGGCAACGCCACTTGGCATCCAACACCAGCGAGGTGCCAGACGTCGCCCGCGCCACCCAAGCCCTGCCAAACTCTGCCAATAATATACCAACCCATTGAGGCAATATATCTTAGACGGATCGCCTGCTTAACTGAAAAAATTAATCCCATCTTTTGCAAACAGTCGAATGTTTCATTTAGGCAGAGGGTACAAAAGAGCGAGAGATGTGGCACATTTGTGGAAAGGCGGCAGCGTGATGGGCGGGTGGCGGGAAGCAGGGCGGGGGATGGCGGGAAGGAGAGGGGGAGGGCGGGAAGGGCAGCACACGTGACCACCAGTCTGCACGTGGGTCGCCATGCACACCTTCATGTTAAAGGGGCTAACCTCCTTCACATACTTGTTCTTACCTGTCACCTCTGCCAATTACTATGGACGCACCCACAGCTGCTGTAGGATGAGAGACAATGTCATTGCCTACTAATTACCCTAGAAATTACCTACTTAAAATTATCTGTTAGACTAAGGACCTGCCCGAAGCTCTAAGTGGTGTTAGTGGCTTTACAAGAATGTAAAAATATCAATGCTATGTTCTCTCATCAACCCAATGTACCTTCTTGTATTTAAATATATAAATAAATAAATGTAGAGTAAAACACAGGAACAGCGCCTGATGACACACCAACAAACCCAACCAGAGGGCCCCAACTAGGGGCCCCCATTCAAGTTTTTACTTGTGTAAAGGAGGAAATGTATATGTTTATCTCTCAGAATGTTTGGTAATATGTTTATTGTTTGTGATGTGTGTATATGTATGTATTAACACGATGTACTGAACGGGGTGAGAATAACTTGAGCTACCTCATCTCTTTGTGTGTATTTTACCTCAATAAACTTATTTCAATTTAAATTTAAATTTCAATTTCAATTCAAGTTTTGACTAAACAACTCAACCATGTCCCCCCCCCCCCACCACTCTAAGTTTGTGACGGCAGTGCTCAGCCCAGGTCCCCATGCAAGTTTACGACGAAAGGTACAAACTTAGTCCCATGCAAGTTTACGACGAAAGGTACAAACTTAGTCCCATGCAAGTTTACGACGAAAGGTACAAACTTAGTCCCATGCAAGTTTACGACGAAAGGTACAAACTTAGTCCCATGCAAGTTTTTAAGATGGACCTGTTACTCGCTACGATGGGGGAGGGGGGGGAGACGATAGTTAGACTGTCTCCAGCTATGCACCACGACCATCAGGTTGGGTATATAAATTAATATTGCAAGAACAGCAGTGGATTTCTTAGACAGTTCCCGGCAAGAAGTACCGGGCCAACAGGGTTGTATAGTACATATGTGGGTCTGCGGGCCGCTCCAAGCAACAGTCTGTTGGACCACACTCTCACAAGTCAAGTGCCAGAACCCTCTTCAGGTACTAACAAGGTGCTCATCAAAACTAGTCACGGACCTCCGGAACTTCACCAATCATCCAATCATCCACCTTAACACCACCAAGGTTCGAGGCTTGCACCACCAAACATCATGTTTCCACTAACCTTATAGTTATGCGCATCCACAAACATCCAACCATGCACCATTATCCACAAATATCTAACCAATCCTGGAGTCTTGCACTGCCAATCATGCAGTCATGTACCACAAACCAGACAGCCACGCCCCATGTGGTTCTAACCAATCATCAAGACACGCACCAATCACCCCCCAATCTAGTTACAGTCGTGCATAACATACCACTTAGCTCTCGCGAATCCTCTAGCAGTACACCACCCAGACGACATCACCGCTCTAGTCCTGATGCATCACCAACCCTGCAGGTGTGTACAGCAGGAACATCACCAACCCTGCAGGTGTGTACAGCAGGAACATCACCAACCCTGCAGGTGTGTACAACCGGAACATCACCAACCCTGCAGGTGTGTACAGCAGGAACATCACCAACCCTGCAGGTGTGTGCAACAGGAACATCACCAACCCTGCAGGTGTGTACAGCAGGAACATCACCAACCCTGCAGGTGTGTACAGCAGGAACATCACCAACCCTGCAGGTGTGTACAACCGGAACATCACCAACCCTGCAGGTGTGTACAGCAGGAACATCACCAACCCTGCAGGTGTGTGCAACAGGAACATCACTAACCCTGCAGGTGTGAACAGTCAAGACAGCACTAACCTTCTAGCTGTACTCGCCTAATTGTACTTGTAGGGGTTAAACTTTTACTCTTTGGTCACGTCTCTTAACTCTCAGTCAACTGGAGTACAGATTCCTGAGCCTATTGGGCTCTATCATATCTACATTTGAAACTGTGTATGGAGTCAGCCTCCACCACAACACTGCCTAATGCATTCAATTTCTTAAGTCCCCTGACACTGAAACAAATCTTTCTAATGCAGACGAGGAGTCACAATAACGTGGCTGAAATATGTTGACCAGACCACACACTAGAAAGTGAAGGGACGACTTGAAAAAAACTCAAAAATCGACTTGAGAATGGTCCAAGACGGACCGAAACGTCGTCGTCCCTTCACTTTCTAGTGTGTGGTTTGGTCAACAAATCTTGTTAATGTTTCTGTGGCTCATTTGGGTACTGAAGGTTCCTCTGATGTCCCCTTTGCGCGAGTACCACCCGTGTTAAATAATGTCTTTATCTACCCTATAAATTTCTCTGAGAATGTTTTATGTGGTGATCATGTCTCTTTTGTCTTCATCACCGGAACATCCAACAACCCTCCAGTCTGTGTATCATCGGTATATTACCACCGTGCTCCGGGCATGCACCACAGACCAGTGGACCATCACCAGCTACCAGCCAGTCACCTTTAGTGCGTGTGCCATCACGGGTCGTCCGCCATGAACCAGCTACCAGCCAGTCACCTTTAGTGTGTGTGGGCCATCACGGGTCGTCCGCCATGAACCAGCTACCAGCCAGTCACCTTTAGTGTGCGTGTGCCATCACGGGTCGTCCGCCATGAGCCAGCTACCAGCCAGTCACCTTTAGTGTGTGTGGGCCATCACGGGTCGTCCGCCATGAGCCAGCTACCAGCCAGTCACCTTTAGTGTGTGGGCCATCACGGGTCGTCCAGCTTGGTAGACCAGTGACCAGCGTCCAGACCTCTCAATCCCCCAACATGGAGCTCCACCTGGCACGGTCCACTACAACTGGATGTACTCTGTACTTCATCTGTTCAGTTACTTCACTACTCTGTTTATTAATATGCTAAAGGGTCTCCAAACAAATCTTAAATCAACGTGACGCGTTTCTTTCGTTTCAGATTATATTTCAAAGCCTCTTTGTAATGGTATTGACAAAAGATTAATATGATCAATTTACCCTCTGTTGTGTGTTGCCGTGAAGGATACACGCAATATCAAGTTACCTGGTTGATACCTGGTTGATACCTGGTTGATGGGGTTCTGGGAGTTCTTCTACTCCCCAAGCCCGGCCCGAGGCCAGGCTCGACTTGTGAGAGTTTGGTCCACCAGGCTGATGCTTGGAACGGCCCGCAGGCCCACATACCCACCACAGACCAACCAAGATGTCCACGGTTGTTCCTGTAATATTCCTGATGCTCGCTGGGAGGACGTTGAACAACCGTGGACCTCTGATGTTCATACAGTGTTCTCTGATTGTGCCCATGGCACCTCTGCACTAAGTTATTAATTAGTTCAAATAAAATCATCCAGATTGATTCCAGTCTTTTCAACATCCTGTACACTCATCAACCAATTGTAGCCTAATGATAACTGCACCTAATGCATCCACACAGAAATATATATAAGCAGAAATACGAGCATGCAGGCAGGAAGTAAGGTAGGCAGAACCTTTGATTAACAATGAGTCTAGGTAAGTAGAAACACAGGCTGGCAGACCAGCCCGTTCCTGTCATTTGACATTTCGTAAAAATTCAATTTTTTGCCTATCCTGTTACACTAACCTAAACAACCAGCCTAACCCATCCAGGTCGATGATCAGAAAATATCTGCAGTTTCCATTTAGGTGCTCTTGTTCTACTGTTCTCTGTGTGTATCTTGAGATGATTTTGGGGCTTAGCGTCCTCAGGAAGCAACCCGTAGCAGCTGTCTAACTCACAGGTACCTATTTACTGTTAGGTGAACAGGGGCATCAAGATAAAAGAAACTCTGCCCATTTGTTTCCGCCTCCACCGGGGATCGAACCCGGAACCTCAGGACTACGAATACCGATCGGTGTCCACTCAGCTGTCAGGCCCTCCAGGTTTATGAGAGATCTATGAGAAAATTATTTTGAGGCAATGAGGCGACTTGAACCGTTATGTTCAAGCTGTCGTGTTATGACCGCTACATGGGCTGACCGCTACATGGGTTGTCTGCTACATGGGCTGACCGCTACATGGGCTGACCGCTACATGGGCTGACCGCTCCATGGGCTGACCGCTACATGGGCTGACCGCTACATGGGCTGACCGCTACATGGGCTGACCGCTACATGGGCTGACCGCTACATGGGCTGACCGCTCCATGGGTTGTCTGCTACATGGGCTGACCGCTACATGGCTGACCGCTCCATGGGCTGACCGCTACATGGGCTGACCGCTACATGGGCTGACCGCTACATGGGCTGACCGCTACATGGGCTGACCGCTCCATGGGTTGTCTGCTACATGGGCTGACCGCTACATGGGCTGACCGCTCCATGGGCTGACCGCTACATGGGCTGACCGCTACATGGGCTGACCGCTACATGGGCTGACCGCTACATGGGCTGACCGCTACATGGGCTGACCGCTCCATGGGTTGTCTGCTACATG